ACACAACAAAATCAGAAGTTCACAGAGGTTCTTGATTCCCTAATTCCACATTTGACTTTTCAGCTCAGATGCTCTACCATTTGCATTCCACCTGAACCTAAAAAAGGGGCAAAGCCCAACCCCAGCTGATCGGCAACCTTGGCACTAGTCCAATCGGATATCTAAGTCAATTTCCATACCACAGATTTTTTTTTTTTTTTATTGCATACATCACATCAAATCAAATCAAATCAAATCCCCAACATTGTTCTTCCTCTTTACAATCACCAAATCACATTCAAGGGGTTTTCTCTGACAGCATCTTTAATATATAAAAAACATTATCTAATAAGTTGTCAGTATACTCTGTGCCGGGGGTTCTCAACTCTGGCCCTCGAGGTCCACTTTTCTTGCAGAGTTTAGTTCCAATCCTAATCAAACACACATTAACAAGCTAATCAGGTTCAGGATTACTAGAAAGTTACAGGCAGGTGAGTTTGATCAAGGTTGGAGCTAATCTCTGTAAGAAAATAGATCTCAAGGGCCAGAGCTGAGAACCTCTGCTCTGTACAACAATAATTAATTAGGGTTAGAGTCTCCAACTTAGAAATTATTATCAAAATTAGTAGGCTTTATGTAATAGACTCTAAACTATACTTCAATAGGTTTTATACAGCCACTGAATGACTTGGCAAATTTCGGTCTCCACAATGTGCACAAAAGCTGATCCAAAGACAAACACAAAGCACTTTTGAGTCTCTTATTGTAAGGGAGGGAATCAAAAGGGCTTTGTGTTTGTCTGTTTGAGCTGACTTGAACTACAGCCAGTGAGACATGGGAATATGCCGACATAATAAAAAATAATATATCCTTTAGCAAAATTAACATCTATATTTTAGCAGAATGTATTGACAAATAAACACATGTATATCTTGTGGTAGTAGTTCATCAGAAAGAATCAATGATCTGAAGTTCCAACAAACTGCTTTCTTCAAAATCTTATCAACACATTTTCAAAAATAATAAAGGAGTGTAAATAACGGTATGCATTAAATAGCAACAAATAATATCGTGTTTACACTAAGCATAAATAATGACAGATGATATTAATAGTACAAATAGCATATTACAGTACTTGCAATACTACAATATTACTATAAAAACGTGAGAAATGAAAGAAAAGTGTATGGAGTTAGCTGAAATAGCCTTTGCCAACAAGGTTTGCCTTTTGCACTCAGTGTGAATTCACTGCCTAAAAAAGGTCAAATTAAAGTTCTTGTCTGTTCACCATTTCCCTGAATCTCTTGAGACATGCACCTTGACCTAAAACTGAAGACGACATGATCAACACTTTCACATCACACTTAGTAGAACTGCAGGATTTGTTTCAATTGGGGCTGGAATCAAGAATCTCTTTTTAGTTATTCCATCCTTCTCTTAATGCCAAAATGTCTGATTCTTAGGTTAGGATGGCTGAGATCAAGGTAAGGGGGAAAGAGTTGGAGACAAGAAGTTTGGGAACCAAAATGAGCTATTTATCTTCCTCAGATGATGCATATACCCTAATCAAATACTTAATTGACTGACACTTCCTTTCTTCCTGAAAAAAAAAATGTATCACAGTTTCCCCAAAAATACCAAGCAGCACAACTGTTTTCATTGATAATAATAAGAAAATCACTGCAAGTTTGCTTAATTCATAATCTTTATCTAAAAGTAACATGGCAGCAGGCTGGTTATTGCGGTGCCCCAGGAGTCAGGACACACCATTTCACAGACGTGGAAACTTCTGGTTAAGCACTGTGTAACCAGGGAAGGCGTTCTATTTGAAAATATTTGTGAAGCCTTGCATGGTGGCCCCCCTTGGCATGGTGCCTCTGGGCACATGCCCAAATGCCAATGTGATTAATCTGGCATGCCTTTAGAAAGCCCACTGATGTTGAGGGACTTCTCTGATAAAAATGATGTTACAGTGTGCCAAACAGAATATTAAAAAAGTAACAAATAAAGAGACCTTGAGGTTGTGTGGCCTGTGTTTTACCAAAAAACAAAATCATGTAAGTTATTAGTGCCTGTACTATCACTATTACACAGCATTAGCTTGTTCTCTGTAGTCCTTGAGAAAAAATGCAAATTCCCTGACAGTGCACTGAGCTCCTGTACTCATGCATGGCTGAGTAAAGGGCATTTTCTTAAGACATTTAAATGTAGACCTTTCAGGGGTGCAACTCTGGCTATATAGAGTGTTGGGCGGTGATTGATAAAACACATCTATGATGCACAACTAGTGTTCCATGGTTCATTTAAAATCAATGATAAATATAACACGTATATGCCAAATGGTACACTCTAAAAAATGCTGGGTTGTTTCAACCCGACTTTGGGTCAAATATGGACTAACCCAACTTTTGGGTTAAAAATTTAATGTAAAAATTTAATTTGACAGTTACTTTGAACAGACGTGAAAATACGGAACACACGACATGATCGCTGACAGAAATTGAGTGAAATGAGTAAAACAAAAGAGGTAGTTTAAAAGGTGATGGGGCAGCATCTCCCGGGAATTGCGCCATATATTATAAGTACACTGTAAAAAATTACCGTGAATTTAACCGTTTTTGGAAGTGAAAAAGACCATATAATTTACGGTGAATAACCGTAAATTGACATTCCCAGAATTCCCTGCGTTACATTTCAAATATGATGTTTTTTTGTTGAAATAACTATGTTTCTTCTTAGTTTTTTCTTATCAGTTTTGTATATTAGGGTTGTGTGTTACACCTAATGTTGTTAAATTAATGTTTATTGCATTATTTCAGTTTTATGTGTGTTACCATGATGGTGTTTAGCGTTTGTGTGAATGACACTGTGCACCTTCTATATATGTTATTATTTAAAAGCTGCTTGTGATGGGCTTTGGTTCATCATGTGACTTTCTCATCACCACCTGCTTTTGGTGGTTATCAGTTTATTACAAAGGTACAAACCAGATTTCAGTACTTCAATAGGTTGGTATATTAACATTATATCAGTTAATGAAATTATGGTATTTAACTGTAAATTTAAGTTAAAACCGTAAAACCTAAAACGTTGCTACCGTATTTTTTACGGTAAAATTCTGGCAACCACAGCTGCCGGTTTTTTACCGTAAATTTTACGGAATTTTTTTTACAGTGTATCTAGGTATATGCTAAAGGTATTACTTGGACTTGTGTTGACAAATTAATCTTTTGTAAAACTTTAGATGTACACTCCTGCATTGAAATAAAACATGTCGGTTCTGCACAAATCACAGAAATAATGTTTTGTATCAAAACAGTGAATTATACAAATAGGTGACAAATTTGTAGCATGATAATAGACTATTTACCTACTCTATAATCAAGGAATTTGATTATCAAACGTAAAAATATTCTTGTTTGTTGTTGTTTAAGGTTCAAACTCCACTTAGCTCAAAAACCCAATGGGAAAAACTAAATGGGCATGACGCGACAACACTAAACGGAAAAAAAAATACACCGCTCGTTATGTTCAACTCCGAAAATTCATAAAGCTAACGACAATAAAACACATTGACATTCTAGAATTAAAACACTCCCGCAACTAATACTGAAACGTTCACTTTATATGTCTCAATACTTACTCTCTTCCGCAGCGCTGTAAAACATACCTGTCTTTGAGGACCGGGGGAGCGCTGACTGACCGGCTGAGAGCGGAGCGGACCGGACTGCACCAGGCGCAGGACGGGTCAGTTCATTTGGATGGTGATTACGACGAGAATGACGTCACTAAAAAGCAACACTTCTAAATATTATTACGTATCAAAAACACAGATTTTTTGGAGAGGAGGGTGATGAAATAATTTACTAAAAATAGATAAAAAGAAAGAAAATAATGCAACACAAAACAAAACATTTATTGTATACATGTTATAAGCTCATAAACCATACAAAAAATAAAAACTAGTTGATATATGTCGTCTTTTCATTTGCTCTGTACAGCCTACTTTAGATGGATAACTGCCTAACTAGCTATTTTTTGCTAATTATACAAAATTATGCACTCATCACCAGGTTTTTGAGGCACAGGTATTTTTCAGTTGAGTGCCGTTAAAACAGATTCCATTTCCGTGTGTTTGGATATGATTTGGACGATATTGCATGTTGTGCTTCTTCCACATAAGAAAATGTAATAAAATGGAGAAGACCACTGTCTTGACTCAACACAAATGAGGAGGAATTTGATGATGCAGGTGAAATACTAGCTGTGTCCAGGTCCAGGAAGGATATGCAGGATAAAAGCGCTCAGTCCTGGCATTTATTGAAACAGGACCATCACTAATAGAGTGAGTGGGACCCACTGCGACCTATTTTTAAATAGTGCATTTTCCTGACTTTTTATAGGCTATATAAATAAATAAATAAAAATAAAACTTTAAACTTGTTTAGTTTGTGTTACATGTAAGAAACAGTTTTTTGTCTAGAGCTCTCTCCCTTATAGGGAAGTCCAAAGTGTCAACAGTGCTTAATTAATTAGTTGCCTGTATTCTTTCTTTTCTCTGCAAAAAGTGTATAATCTATTCTTACGAAGTATGCATGTAAACATACCCTTAGGTATCAATAGGCTATATGATTTTGTTTGACCTTGATGTGGTATGTTAGAAATGTTAAAATAGATGAATACGAATAAATAAAACGACATAAAATTAATATATTTATTGCCAAGTAATAGTACACCAAATAACAAATCAGTTTCTGAGGAAAATGTAGCTATACAGTAAATCAACCACCAAACATAGAATACATTAGATTTAGTTCGAGAGCTGTCAACAGTATTCACAAATAGAGATAATACAAACTGATTTCTTTGGAGGAAAAAGAATAACAGGATAAAACTAAATACTCATTCTGAACTGAGCATGAAAGAACTAAGGAAAAGCTATAAAATAAAAGGCAAAAGTTGACTTATTTCTCCAAGAAGCCATTTTGTGTGAAAGGCTTCACTTACATCAGCGATCATTTTCATTGTCCTGCAGCCTCTTCAATGTATCTGATGGAAAGAGAAGAACTTTAGATGACAGAAGCTAACAGACAAACCTCAGAATATGAATTACTGAATACTGTACATATATTTATAAATTATTAAAATAAGCCGTTAACAGGATATTTTAGTGTACCCATAAAAAATAATGCCATTTGGCGACTATGCTGAGCTTGAATGATGAACTTTGACTATCCACAGAGCTGTCTAGCTAAGCTTAATGACCAGTGTGAAATTAACAGCAATCTTTTGCCTTCACCACAACTTACTCAAAGTGTGTCTCATGCTTTGAGAAAATAGGATGAAGGAGGCAGTTTCACCAGGTTTCTCTGTGCACGGTACAATCAGATACTCTCCTGGCTCCAGCCAGAAGAATCCCATCACCTCTCTCAAGTTTCGGAAAGACTTCATTTCCACAGGTCTTTTGTCATTGAAGAACTCAGCTGAGAACTTCCTACTCTCACCTCTCACCTAAAGAAGAATTAGATGAGTCAATATTGTACTGTCAATATCTGACTATAGTATTTGTGAGTTTACTTATAATGGTATCTGTAGAAGTACAAAAAAGTTTGATAGAATAGCATCTAGAAAAGTATTATTTCTCCTTTTACTTCTCATTCACTTATACATTTTAGGAATATATTGCCGTTTTCTCAACTAATTTATAGCAGACAAATTACGAGCATATCAAACACAATAAATACAAACAAGTAAAACAAGTTATAGATGTTGAAAAAAAGTGTTACAACACTCCTCATTCTCTCTGAAATGCAAAACCTGCAGAACTACATCTGTCAATACTGACCTTAAAAACATAGAATCCAATCATGAAGTTATTTTGGCTACTTCTGTTTCTCTTCTCATGATTCTGCATGAGAGACACGAGTATGTTTTCAGCACCCTCCTCATGAGTACAGTCCTCACTAAGCTCCTCAATCCTCACCCGAAACTGAGGGTTTTTCCAGAAAGTCTCTAAAACACAGCAAAAGTGTTAGACTTCTGCATAAGTCTTTTAGAAATCAAACCCAGGTGGGATGTTAAAGGTGCAGTAAGCGATTTCTGAGAAACGCTGTTGAAAGTGGATCGGACCGAGCACCAAAACACACTTGTAGCCAATCACCAGTAAGGGGCGTGTCCAGTAGTGATGGGGGAGGTGCCTGTGTTGAATAGCATGTTCAGACATTTGGGGGCGGAGGCAAGATAGGGGTGTGATTCTTTTGGGTAGGGGCGTGTTTGTTTTGGTGATTTCAAATATCAACAGCATTTCTCAGAAATCGCTTACTGCACCTTTAACAATAATCATCTGCATTCTTTGTATGGTGGAAATGTATGCTCAGTAAGAGGGCCTTTGGAAGTTAGAAGGTCACAGATGAAATCAACTTTAAAGTCTATAAAGTGGGGAAAGTTCTTATTTCGTTATATCTGACTTTCTATACTTCCCCATTGTTTTTATAAGGAGTGTCATTATTGAAACCACTATTTATATATCTCTTTCATTTATAACATATAGAAGCCTATATATTACTAGATATAAATATAAATACTATATCAAAAAACTTATATTATACACATGTACCCATATTGTCCATGGAACCACCAGCTGTAGTCCCAGCAATCCATTGGCCAAAATTGCGTTGTGACTTCCAGTGGCATCCAGAGGATCTGTCCAGAAAATCAGGACAGAGACAGCAGATATCCAGGCTTTCGAAGTTTCTGGTAAAATCTTTCATTGACATCCTGCAGTATAGATAAGTTTTCCTAAGTAAAAGTGATTCCAAAATGTGATTCGTGCTTTGTATATAGAGAGTCATATATTACAACATTAATGCTGACCAGAACTCCCCATTTTCAAGTTTTTCACGGCACTTGAGGTCCTCCTTACTCACTGTGTTCCACAAAGCTGATCTGAAAACATTATGTACATTATACCCACAATATATTTGATGTGTCATACCAGCATCACACCAGCCCTGTTATATCATACAGCAAATGCAAACAAAATAATATTTCATATTTGAGGTCATCGGACAAAGAGATTAGGTGATTATTTAAGATGCACATATTCTGATGCAATGAAGAACTTGTGAAACTGTTACTCATTTCATAAAAGCAACACTTACTCGTCACTCCAGTCTCCTTTCCACTCTGTATTTCCCCATGGGTTTAACACTCTCACCAGATGAACTGGATTTCCTTCACTCATCACCTGTTCAACAAAACCAACAGTGGTTCTGTCAGTTTCAAACATTTTTTTTTAAGACAAAATACAGAAAATTTAGAGGGGGCATAAATGTACAAAATAAAAACGTATAAAAGTACATAGGCATGGAAAAATTAAATGCATTTGATAATGAGCCAAAAAAAAAAAACATAAAGAAAGTGCAGTGCCTAAAAAGAAGTCTGAAATTAATATTTCTCACTGCTCTTTAAGGTATTTGGTTTCTTTCTAGCAAGGAGACTTCATGGTCTTACCTTGGAAACACCTGTCACAGTGTAAGCATGACCCCCAACTATGCCATTGGATGACACAGCTTCACGTGTTCCCTTATTTATATAATCAAAAACAAACAAGAATACACATATCAATAATGTATATAATGTTAACATTATATATCAGTACACAGCAGATCAATGCTTATTTGTGAATAAAACCCTTAAATTAAATCGGTTTTGATTGTGTCTCTTCAGAGGACTTGGGTTAAACTGCTCAATTCATATTAATTACTTTTGCAATGCCTTCTTTTTTTTACCTTTTAAAGCATGAAAATTTTGGTTGCATTGGTTTAAATGGAAGGACAAAAGTGAAATATTGTCATTTGTGTTTTGAAGAATGGAAGTCTTATATTTTTGAATGACTCGAGGGTGAATAAATGATGAAAGATTTCTTTTATTTATTTTTTTTACTGTTACAGCATCTCTGGTCCTGGAAACTGACTGGTCGAGCAATGTTCAATGCCAACAGCACTAGGACTTTTCACTGTTTGTAAAACTCCACCTGTCTGAATCGGTCCATGACTCTCAGTCCTTAGAAACACTTCTGTAAATCCTTAGTACATATATTTCTATATCAATGGTTTATGCCAACAGCATTTGTCAATGAAGCATTGAATCCAGGTTTGTGTGAGTCTTACCCCATGATAAGAAGCACAGCCCATGAGGGTATCAACAGCATTTCTCAGAAATCGCTTACTGCACCTTTAACAATAATCATCTGCATTCTTTGTATGGTGGAAATGTATGCTCAGTAAGAGGGCCTTTGGAAGTTAGAAGGTCACAGATGAAATCAACTTTAAAGTCTATAAAGTGGGGAAAGTTCTTATTTCGTTATATCTGACTTTCTATACTTCCCCATTGTTTTTATAAGGAGTGTCATTATTGAAACCACTATTTATATATCTCTTTCATTTATAACATATAGAAGCCTATATATTACTAGATATAAATATAAATACTATATCAAAAAACTTATATTATACACATGTACCCATATTGTCCATGGAACCACCAGCTGTAGTCCCAGCAATCCATTGGCCCCAATTGCGTTGTGACTTCCAGTGGCATCCAGAGGATCTGTCCAGAAAATCAGGACAGAGACAGCAGATATCCAGGCTTTCGAAGTTTCTGGTAAAATCTTTCATTGACATCCTGCAGTATAGATAAGTTTTCCTAAGTAAAAGTGATTCCAAAATGTGATTCGTGCTTTGTATATAGAGAGTCATATATTACAACATTAATGCTGACCAGAACTCCCCATTTTCAAGTTTTTCACGGCACTTGAGGTCCTCCTTACTCACTGTGTTCCACAAAGCTGATCTGAAAACATTATGTACATTATACCCACAATATATTTGATGTGTCATACCAGCATCACACCAGCCCTGTTATATCATACAGCAAATGCAAACAAAATAATATTTCATATTTGAGGTCATCGGACAAAGAGATTAGGTGATTATTTAAGATGCACATATTCTGATGCAATGAAGAACTTGTGAAACTGTTACTCATTTCATAAAAGCAACACTTACTCGTCACTCCAGTCTCCTTTCCACTCTGTATTTCCCCATGGGTTTAACACTCTCACCAGATGAACTGGATTTCCTTCACTCATCACCTGTTCAACAAAACCAACAGTGGTTCTGTCAGTTTCAAACATTTTTTTTTAAGACAAAATACAGAAAATTTAGAGGGGGCATAAATGTACAAAATAAAAACGTATAAAAGTACATAGGCATGGAAAAATTAAATGCATTTGATAATGAGCCAAAAAAAAAAAAAACATAAAGAAAGTGCAGTGCCTAAAAAGAAGTCTGAAATTAATATTTCTCACTGCTCTTTAAGGTATTTGGTTTCTTTCTAGCAAGGAGACTTCATGGTCTTACCTTGGAAACACCTGTCACAGTGTAAGCATGACCCCCAACTATGCCATTGGATGACACAGCTTCACGTGTTCCCTTATTTATATAATCAAAAACAAACAAGAATACACATATCAATAATGTATATAATGTTAACATTATATATCAGTACACAGCAGATCAATGTTTATTTGTGAATAAAACCCTTAAATTAAATCGGTTTTGATTGTGTCTCTTCAGAGGACTTGGGTTAAACTGCTCAATTCATATTAATTACTTTTGCAATGCCTTCTTTTTTTTACCTTTTAAAGCATGAAAATTTTGGTTGCATTGGTTTAAATGGAAGGACAAAAGTGAAATATTGTCATTTGTGTTTTGAAGAATGGAAGTCTTATATTTTTGAATGACTCGAGGGTGAATAAATGATGAAAGATTTATTTTATTTTATTTTTTTACTGTTACAGCATCTCTGGTCCTGGAAACTGACTGGTCGAGCAATGTTCAATGCCAACAGCACTAGGACTTTTCACTGTTTGTAAAACTCCACCTGTCTGAATCGGTCCATGACTCTCAGTCCTTAGAAACACTTCTGTAAATCCTTAGTACATATATTTCTATATCAATGGTTTATGCCAACAGCATTTGTCAATGAAGCATTGAATCCAGGTTTGTGTGAGTCTTACCCCATGATAAGAAGCACAGCCCATGAGGGTTTGGGACTTGGCTGCACGATCCATAATGTCCCACAGATAAGCAGGAGCTTCATTCAACACAAACTCCATGTGCACCCCACCAGTGAAGTCTATCAGGGCCTCAGACATGAATCCGCCATCTAGGTCTGAATAAGATCCACACACCCTGCAAAGCCAGAACTTTATGGTGCAGTCTAAATGCTACAATGTCACAGACATGATGTAATGTAGTGAATATGAAGTAATGTGCCCTGACAATGTTTATAGATGTAACTTGACACTTTCCTCCTCACAACAACATACAAATCTATTAAGATTGACAAATCAAAGGTAAGATCATGCATATGTTTCACACATCTATATTCTAGAGACCATGGGCGTCGGAACCATTGTATGTGGGTGGGACAAGGCCCACCAACTTTTTAAGACCAATGAACTTGGACTCACTCACTTTTTTATCATCTCTAATTCAGCGCATATGTCTGTTCAATTTTCAAATCCATTCCACTTGAGGAATGCCCTAATAAATTAAACTAGCTACAGCCTTGACTTCCACACTGCTGCTTCCTCAAATCCATTCAACTTGGCTCATACGAGTTTAGGTCCATATAAACTAAACTCCATTCTGTGTTTTCACTACTCGTACCTTCTGCACTCCCACGACACAGCAAGGTAGACAAAGCATCTTAGCATATCTGCCGCTCAAGTGGGTCTGGCTGTGTGCTCACATACAGTCACTAAACAAGCTGCTATTTAAGTGAATGTTCGTCATTTTTTCACCTGGTGCTTTAAAAGGCATCATGTAGTCTTTGTTGCAGCATTGAATTACAGTTACACTTAAACTATGTTGCTATAACACTAACAGTTATCTGACATTTTTGCTAGGTTGTTTGTTCAAAACAACTTTCTAGACTTTTGTTGCTGTGTTAAAGGTGGGGTAAGTGATTTCTGGTAGCCAATGTTGATATTTACCCAGACAACGAGTAGTTCTGTGAAACAAATCAAAACCAATGTTACACTGTGTCTACACCGGACACGAGCGGCGCGGCGTGACAAAATACTATAGAACTCATAATAATAAGTGATGAGGTGCAGCGCGACACGACACGACAAATCCCCGACAGAAAACTGCTGCTGCGTTCGATTTATGACGTGTTGACACAAATTTCAAATGATTTTCAACGGTTGCTTTTTTGCGTCCAGTGTAGACAGACTTTAGCTGTTTAGCTGTTACGGAACGACAACTGTCACGTCCGGTGTAGATCTAAAGCGTTTTTGAAAAAATACATACCCCACCTTTAATATTTGGGAAGCCTTGCCAGGTATATGGTAACCGTTTTAGGTTATTAAATCAATTGTTTAATTAAAAGGTACCAGAATACAGAAAATGGCATCTACTCCAGTAAAAGTTTTTAGGGGGATGACCCACCCAAATTTTTTTTCTTTTTTGTTTCGGACGCCCATGCTAGTCTCTAGCATTATTGTTTCTTGTCTCAAGAAACAATAAGTAAATTCATTCCATCTTTACTTCAAAGCATCTACTGGCACCTACTTTGCATACGCTTTCTCCAGTAAGGCAGGCCAAAACTCATTAGATGTTTTTGAACCCACAAAAATGAGCTTGTCATCATTTGTTGGAAGCAGATCATCAATGACAACATCAATCCATTTCCCAAACCGCCAGAACTATAACATAAATTGCACAAAGACAATAAAGAAAAAGGGTAAGGGTTAAAAAGAGGAATTGTGTTTAATCATCAAATTCATTCAAAGATTCATAAACATTCAAATATCAGATAGGTATTAAACTCACCCTGAAGTGAAATATCCCTGAATAATTGTTGCTGAATGTCTGACCAGCTGGAATGACTTGGTTTATGACATCTTTTGTCATAAATGATGTCTCCTTATCTTTCGAGGTTAAAGCCCCAATTGAAGCCAAAAACCAGCAGTTTCCTAAACACAAATACAAACTTGAGGATCTTGACTAATGCATATATGCAGTTTAAGAAACAAAATCTAACATTATACTGTATGTGATTATTTATGCATGCTTTTATCATATTGTTTATATATGGTTATTTTAGTTGTTGTGTGATGCTGCTTTGAAAGTGAGATGAGGACGACTACATGTTAAGGCCCATGTCAAACTTCATTCAAGTAAACCCAAACTTACCTAATTTGGACCCTTGTTCGTAATCAAACCTGGACATTCCATCAACAGTGAAGAAAGGTTTACCAGGTGACACTAATTCCTGTTTCGAAAGAATAATCAAAGTGCTCTTTCAACACCTTAAAACAAGGATATAAAGAGAAAGACACATAATTTATTATTGTTTATTTAATATTATTGTTTACACACTGCTGGTCTCTTCCATATGACATTTTTATAGTCCAGATCAGCTTCTTTATTTAGAGTGCCAATAGAGCTGCTGTTTGGAGGGAACAACTCATCTGTGTACAGCTCATTTCTTCTGAGAGATTTCTGAAGCAGCTTCTGATAGTCCTGACCCAGGAACCTAACAGGATTGGTAGGAGAACCCTCATTATGTTCAGTTGTCCTGTCGTGGTGCACATGAGGAGGAGGCATTTTTCACTCAGAGAAGCCTGTCGTCTGAAGACAACCTAATGCAAACAGAGAAAGTCTCACATTTTGTATTTAAAAAGTTAAAGTTGTTTGTTTGAATTGAGCTGTGACCTTCTACTTTCATATTATCCTATCCCTGTTCCTGTCTGAATGCAAGTATCAGTACAATAAAACCAAAGTTAAAACTAAAAGATAGTTACAACTATGTTTTAAAGCTTTTCTAGTGTTCTTCAATTGGTAATCATGTTTTAACAAAATATCTATGCAGAATTAATTTTAAAAATTGATTAATTAAAATGAATAAATTAAAAGGATAAAAGGAAGATATAGCTCACAGCTGCAAGGATCTCGTTGGTCAGGAAGTTACTGTAAAAGACTGCATTTTTATACTCCACACCTGTGGAATATTGTTTTCTTTTCTTTTCTTTTTTTGGTCATACATCCCACCCCTTACTTTGTGTAGAGATTGTTTTTCTGCCATTCAGGCGACTTCAATGTCAGTGTCTAAAGAAACTTCAAATGTCTCACACCTACAGTATATGTGATGTCATGGTCCAGAATTACAACATTCCAAACGCGATCTCATATAACAATCTTACATTTTTACCCAAAAGCATCATGGTTATAATAGATTGTGAGCTGTTACATAACAAAAGCTGCATAGGCACTACATGCTGACTTTAAAATTGAGACATTCACGAGTTCACACGTACATGAAATCAGATATAATGAAGTATGCTTATTCGGGGGGGGGGGCTCCGAGCTCAGAATTTTGTACCGAACCCAGAGTACTCCTCCCTTTTTTACTGGGATAGGAACCAGACACCAGACAACCAGAAGTGAGGCGATGGGGTGGCGGAGGGGTGCTGTGAAGCTGTCACGGGACAGAGGTGAGGGACAACTATATAGCCTATACCAGCCTTCTCTTGCGCTGATTGGGACGCGGGAAGTAGGGGTGCTGGGGGGACTGCAGCACCCCCTGTTTTCACATGGTTGCAGATGCAAAGCTACATTTGTTCATTTAAATTTATTCCGTTTTAGTATTTAATAATTTATTTGTAATAATCTCTGAAATGTAAATTGTAAGTGGGCTATAATAATAAACCCATGTTTATCTTTATAAACATGATTAATTTTTTTTTCATAATCAGATTTTTTTAAATGCCCATCCCAGCAAAAACTTTCCAAAATCGGCATCCACAACACCAGCCCCAGCACGAGCACCGACGTAAGCGAACCAGCTCCAGTACGAGCACAGAGACGAGCAACGGTACCAGACCCAGCACGAGCACGGAGACAAGCCTAGCGGACCCAGCCCAACCCCCGAGATTGATCAGCTACTATCAATAATTTCACAAATGTGATATGCAGTCAAATTTCCCAGTGTTTATGCCACTTAAACGAGTGTTCATATCGACGCGCTTGTAACGTTAGTGCTTTGTGGAGTTGTCAAATGAGGTGTCAAATTTCACAGTATTTTCACCTCCTAAATTACTACACTACTTGTGCAGTCACGATTTTATAATTTTACAATTTACTCAGGCCGATGACTTTTTTTTTTGTATGACATTAAAATAATGAAAAATATAATGAATTACAATTCTGTAGAGAACAGTGCGCTATTGCAGACTTGTATACTGAAGTTTTAATTGCATTATTGTAATAGCTATAGTCAGTCGTGAACTAAAGTGGGCCGCTCTAAGGCATGAAACTCCAGGGCTGAAAATGACTCCCACTCCGGCCCTGTTATCAGGTTTTCTTATGGAATAGTGAAAAATATCAGTCTATTTGTATTCTGTATACAAACCATTCATGAATCACATTCCTCCATATCATATCTGTAGAAGATGCACTGGAACCATCATCAAAAAATAGGCAGAATAGTCCTGCTAGATATAAAATGGGGATTTTATATCTAGCAGTATTCTGCCTCTCACTTTAAAACCCTCCAAAAAATACTTACAAAACGGTGAGATTCACAATCTACAGTATAGTTTAAATCTGCAAATTTAGAGATTTTGAAACATATATTATAACTTTTTCCAGGACTGATTAATGTTCACAAGCAAAGGTAAACGTAACGGCACCTGAAGGAATAGCACAACCAGCCAGCCACTTATCGAATATTTCATTGTTTGTGACAGGTCAAAACAACACAGCCAACAGACCTTAGTCAGTAGAGCTATATTAAATTTTTGTCAGATATGAAAACGAAGCGGTGAGGTATAAAAGTACAGTGTGTTCAATGTTTTGTTTGAATTTACAAAATAACAATTTAAAATGTATTAAAATAACCAGATTATTTGCATATTTAGAGTTGAAAATATTACTAATTAAAAAAAAAAAGATAAGTAAAATCTTTCAAATGCTAAGGTGGCCAGGCCCCCTAGATCCCCCACAAGCTACGCTCATGGTTCCAGGGGCACCTCGAAAGGACCATAAAGGCACTTTACCATTGGTGATTAAAGGGGCAGGGTCTCGAACACATGGAATTAGTGAATAATAGCCCATTGAATTACAAATTTTGATGAGAAATCTTATTCCATCTTACAGTAAATGTACACTAAAAGTGCCAAATTTATAAGCTAAAGACAAAGTAAAGTCATACAACTATTGATACAATACAAACAATTTTAATTAAAGTGTTTTTAAAATCAATAGTTTTATCAACAGTGCATCTAAAATCAATAGTTTATCTAAAAATAGAGTATAGTACTTAATTATACATTAGAAATGTTCACAAGACAGCTGAATATCTTCTCTTCTGTGGATGTTATCAATGTGGCTGATATCAGACAAACAATGGTCCCAAACTGACACCAAAATACCTTTTCCTGGCATGACAATGTTTCAAAGCCCTGCAGGAGCCGATTAGATGAAAATGACTGCGTATGGATAGATCTCTCCATATAGACCCACATGTGGCCTAAAGGCCCCTTATTTGATGTTGTGTTGAGAAATATTCTTACTTTAAAATCTTGCTGACAATTAAAATAATAATAATAACGAAATATATGTATGTGTGTGTGTGTGTGCATGTATGTGTGTGTATATATATATATATATATACATATATACATACATACATAGTACATACATATAAGTATCTAAACTAGCATTAAAATAACATCTGCTTGAATATGCGTTTCTTTACAGCAACAGTGACTCCAAGTGTTTACAATGAGAAATACATACATTAAATGCATAATTTTTTCAAACAGTTAAAACAGACAGAATTTTTGCAATTACTAGTTTGAAAAGTTTGATCATATAAAATGTGTACAGGTGCATATCAATAAATTAGAATGTCGTGGAAAAGTTCATCGGAATTGAGGCAGTAATTAAAGCAAAAGGAGCCCCTACCAAGTATTGAGTATATGTACAGTAAATGAATATACTTTCCAGAAGGCCAACAATTCACTAAAAAAAATGTTTTATTGGTCTTATGAAGTATTCTAATTTGTTGAGATAGTGAATTGGTGGGTTTTTGTTAAATGTTAGCCAAAATCATCACAATTAAAAGAACCAAAGACTTAAACTACTTCAATCTGTGTGCATTGAATTTATTTAATACACGAGTTTCACAATTTGAGTTGAATTACTGAAATAAATGAACTTTTCCACAACATTCTAATTTATTGAGATGCACCTGTATATCAAATGATAATTTTAAGGAAAAGAAAAAATCATTTTAATAGAGGGATAAAAGGACAAATAAGAAAGGCTATAACCATCACAATTTGTTTTATCAGTTTGATAGTTTGAAATGAAATAAATGTTTAGATTGCTAAAATTCCTAAATCGCTGATTGTTTTTGATCACCAAACGTGTTTCTTTTTCACACTTCTTCTTGCATTTGTTGGCAAACCTCCTGGCAAGCAGACATTCCCTCATGAGTACATGGTTAGTCCTATCCACTAAAATACAGACACACAGAAACAGGTTGAAAATGTATGAACTATTAAGCACTTGTATGTGTTTGGAAATATGGAAAAAAAATGAAAATGTTTACATCAGGATTACCTCACTCTCATCAAGAGTTATCTTTCCATGTTCACACAGTCTCTGGAATATTCCTGATGAAAATAATAAAAACTGTTAATATGTAATAAATCCGATGCAGGCCTAGGGTACAATAACCATGACATAAATACAGTATATTTGCAATGTGTGAATGAGCATCTTATATCAATATATCAATATTATATCTATACCTTAAATATCACTTCTAGTTAATGTTACTGCCAGCATAATAGCCGCCCTCTGTGTCCAGTGACCCATAAAACTGAACACAGAGGGCGGCTATTATGCTGGCAGTAACATTAACTAGAAGTGATATTTAAGGTAATGCAATAACGCATTCTAACCTACTACTAAGAAAATTACAATAGTTTCAACAATGGTTTGCCAGAGCAAAGCATAAACTGTATAAATCTCAACCTGTTTTCTCTAATGCATTTTGCAGTTCGTTGAAAGACAGAACGCCATCTTTGGAAGAATCCATGCTGTAGAAGATATCCTGTAAAAATACTTGAAAAATTATTCTTCATAAAAACTGAATTTTTTTTTTTTATATAACTCAATACATAGCAAAATGTCTTGTCTTAATACAATAAAATACACAGGTAAATTCCAGACTCAAATCCACTCACCTTGTATGTCAAAATACGGTTCCACAGACGAATGAATTCTGGTCCGCGAAGTCTTCCAGTGACACTGAACTATTGTTATTGTTACAGTCATGGAATATTTCTAGAGCTAAAACATGTTTCTTTACAATACGACTGCAAATACAAGCTGAACCTGGGAGATAAATCATCATCATTCACCAAATTGTTTTTAATAGTTTTTAATTGCATGCTTAAAGAATAAAGGATACATCTGACATGGCAATTATACTTCTACATGAATCCAGGCCAAATCCTTCAGTGTTTTTATTCCCTAAAAGGTGAAAGTGAAAAACAAAAGAGAGATTTTAAAACTAGCTTCAGTATATTTCACAT